CAACGTGGCATGTGTGATAGCTGTGAGGCCTCTTGGCGGAGGAGGAACATTGGGAGACAACGACAAATTAAGGCACTCCTTGGCTTCCCCAGCAGCCACCCCATTCAAACATGTCCTTATTATTCTTATGTGTACTTGACATCTAGTGTTACCTTAAGTAAAAAAACCCCAACACAAATCTGAAGACTAATTTATATCTATTTCTATGATAGAGACAATCAACAAACGAGCAGTAATTACAAATTTAGGTATTTTGTTTGGAAGAAATTTGAAGAATATTCAAACTATAGAAAAAAAAACAATAGTATTTGGACTTGGTTTGTGCAACCAACAGATGATGCGAGAGTGCATGAGGCATGCATCAACAAATATAATATACCCTCCATTTCAAATTATAAGTGGTTTTGGCTTTTCTAGATATAGCTTTTGCTATGTATCTATATATAACATATATCCATGTGCATAGTAAATATTACGTACTTACAAAAGTTAAAACAACTTATAATTTAGAATGAAGAGAGCACTTAGTAGCCCATGAGTCATGGGCTTTTGGTCTTGAGACCCATCTTGGTTTACAAGACCACTAAGCCTGCTCCTTGATCCCAACATGCTTGGGGAATTTGTTAGTGTTATGCCAATCATTGGCTTGGTATTGGTTTATGCTCAAGGGGCATGATCCTTGAATGAGGAGGGATGCACACGTGATGAATGTGAGATCGGTAAGTACCAAATTTTATTTTTGTTGTGGGTGCATTTGCACCCTCTATGGGGTGCGTAGCTTAGCGTCGTGGCCAGGAAATCCAAGCAGCCCGTAATCACGTAACGAGCAGTGCTGCTCTAGCATGCAAGCGACGCCCACGCAGGCATGCGGTTGCGGCTAGGTGGCTGGGTATAGAAGCTAGGTGCGTAGGTATAGAAGGTGCATAGGTGGATAAGGCCTGATGGTGATAGATAGGTTGAGCACTTGAGCGTGGGCTTCATGGATAAGGATATAGGCTATGGGCCAATCGAGTATAATATTCGGTTGGTTGAGCACTTGAGTATGGACTTCGTGCATCAGAATATAGACTATGGACCAATGTACAAATTCAGTCATTCCGATATTTGTAAGCGTAGCACCAGACTAAAAAACAATGTTTTAGGAACGGGAACAAAATAAAGTAGAGATCGAGTGACCGAACATTCGGTCTTCGAGTTCGGTCTCGATCTTATTCAATGTTATTTTTCTTTGTCTCACTTTTTTGCCCACTCCGTTGACAGAAAAAAAGTCAGAGTAAATTGGACTTGGGTATTTGTTGGGCTGTCCCTTAGCTGTCCCTCCGGTTGTGCCACATCTATTTATTGATTGGCAATCCAGCGAACACCGATGTCGATTGTTGAGGGATGTAATATGCGTGCGGAGGGACCAAATATGGACGTTGAGGGAACAAATATGGTACACGAGACACAACATCACTTCCCCAGGCTGATCTTGTTATGGCAGATATTACTGATGGATTCTTTGGCGACGAAGATGCGGGTGAAGGTGTCGAAGTTCAAGTCAATGAAAAGGACCAAGCGGACTTCTTCGCGGCAATGTTCTTTATGAAAGGTATGGAGGCCTTGAAGAAGGCAGCAACAAAGCCTTTGTATGAAGAGTCTAAGGGTTGTATCAAAGAATTCATGACATTGAGACCTTTCAGTGGCATGCTTGGAGAACATGGCCATGCTTGAAGAGTCTAAGGATGGAAACAATTTTGGTATTGATGAGGACATGGCCATGCTTGGAGAATCGCATGGAGGCTGATGAGATCAGCAAGGGTGTCCAAAACGAGGAGGAGGCCAAAAACTCATCCGGCTCGAGTCGCCAAGGTGGACGCCCCTTTTTTTGGCATGACAAATGGTTACAGCAACCTCTGAAAGATGACTATCCTGAGGTCTATTCATTTGCCCTGAACAAGACTTTATCAGTTACAAATTTCTATGCACATCAGCATCTGCTAGAGATATTCAGTCTTCCTTTATCAGCAGAAGCTTTTCATCAGATCCAACTAGTTCAGTCCTTTATAAAACGTTTTCCCCTAACAGAACAACAGGATAAATGGACATCCAATTGGGGAGAATATTCTACCTCAAAAACATACAGATCACTAATTGGCCAAAGAAATGTTCCTCAGATTTATAAATGGCTTTGGAAAAGATTTTGCCAGCCAAAGCATAAGTATTTTTTTTGGCTGCTCCTAAAAGACCGACTAAGCACAAAGAACATTCTAAAAAGGAAAAACATGCACTTGGACTCATATCACTGTGACCTATGTCAGCTGTCAGTGGATCGGAGGAAACCTTTGAGCACCTTTTCACTGAATGTCCATTTGCAAAAGATTATTTGAATCTGCTGGGTATTTCATTTCAGATGGGACTCAGCATCACGGATTGTGTTATACACCCCAAAACTCAATCTCACCCGGTCTTCTAAATGATGGTAACAATCCTAATGTGTTGGGCAATTTGGATAGTGAGAAATGACTTTATTTTCAAGAATGCCCAACCAAGTGTTCAAACAGCCAAAGAAACATTCAGAAAGGAGTTGTCCTTACTCTCCCTGAGAGCCAAGTCCAAAGTTTCAGTCACCTTTGAATTATGGATCCAAAACTGTTGTAATCTTCTTGATTAGGCTAATTTTCTTCTTTTCCTTCTTTGTTTCCTGAATCCTGTTCTCTTAGCTTTGCTTAGCTTTGTTCTATATTGTCTTCAATTTAAAATAAAATCATGTAGGGAAAGTTTCCCCTCCAGTTTCGTAAAAAAAATCAAGTTCGAGTCCACCTCGGAATCTAGGATCAGTCCCGCATAAGATCGATGCCCAGCACGCATATGTACTCTATTTTTGACGATCCACATATGCTTGGAAAGATAATTTGATAATCTAACCAATGGATTGATTGACTTCATCTTGTCTAGCTGCTTTTGGACTTGGTGGCATCTCGGTTCTTTAGCGAGGCTTTGTCTTGTAGCTTAAGACATGGCTGAGATCCATCGATGTGAAGTCGGAGCTATTATGTCGCAAGTGGCAAGCATGGCAACAACGACACTTGACATCCTCTGTCGCATGTTGGCAATTGTAAGTAGTGTTGCATCGTGTAGTTAGTGGTTCTATGGTTTTTGGGTTGAGTTTCCCTTATAAGCTGGGCCAATTTTCTTCTTATTAATATATATGCTGAAACAATAAGTTTTGAATATTAAAAAATGAAGAACAGTGGTCAGTGGAGATCATAGAAGTTGACACGATCCAAAAATCTTTGCTGTAGTGATAAAGTAGAACATGATGAATTGTAGAGTTTATTGTGGTCCAATCAAATTGTGTCTCCGAGATCAGAGAAAAAAATGCAAAAATCTTTGCTCCAGTGAGAACATTAGTTCTAGTGTTTATTGTGGTCCAATCAAAGTGTGTCTATGAGACCAGAGAAAAAAGAATTACAACTTAGGAAAAGGGATTGCATCTCTGGAATTCCTATGTGGAGTTCTTATGTCTGCCCAACTAAAGCTTGGGCATTAAGAAGCTTCAACTTGGTGCGGCCGGAGAAGAACAAGTCTGCAGTGGAGTTGATGATGAAGAGGATGATGTACCGTCGGTAGATTCTTCATGCATCTGGTGGAAATCCGTTAACAACTCGAGGAGTTGATATAAAGGCTTTTGTTCTATTTGAAGAGGGATAGATTGAGTTGGGAAGTGGTCTGTGTCAGGCTTTAAGTTCATTGGGTTCAGGTCGGTTTTCACGTTTAGTCTTATTGATGGGCGAGGTGTTAGTTTTGGGTTCATCACTCTGAGTTCTTCTGGAGGTTTTTCTTGCGCTGTAATGAACATTTAGTCATTTGACTTTAGTTAAAAGGCCGGGTCATGAGCCCTAAAACTCTAAAAAAAAAAATTTCTATATGAAAAGCCTCTACGATGCTTGATACATGCACTCATATACACGCATGTATAGTTACTCATATGAACACAGATATCCTATCCCTATGAACAAGTTCAATAGACTAAGCTAGTAGATCATATATTGACAAAGTCACAACAAGTGTCTTGTTAATGGATATATTGTTTATCACTGAAAGAATATCACTATTTTTTAACTAAATAAATTAAATTCAGGAGAATGCAAGCAACTATGTCATATCGAGGCCTTTGACTTTGTCACTATAAAATGGCTTATTGCAATAAATTGTGTTCTATAGTTCAATACTTTGCACTTGCGCATTATTCCTATTACAATTATGCTCTCTTTTTTTCCCTCTTTTTCTACATTTTGCTGCCCCCTTTTCTATTTTATGTTTTCCCACTCCCCTGAAAAAAAACTCGGCCTGCGGTGAGCAGACAGCCCACACAACTTTATGCTTAAGGTAGATGACCTCTCACGCAGACCGAGAAAACTCCTCAACCCTATGCCCCACCCTCACATAGAGGTCCGTTACCTTGTGAGTGGGCCGGTCCATTTACCTATGCTTTGAAAAATACGCGAGGGTGCCGGCCGGACATCCTGACCATCTGGTCCGTGGAGCCGTTTTCCCACTCCCCTGAGGATCAGTATGCAAGGCAACATATATCAAAAGTCAGCCCAGAGTTGTGCCTTGCATGATCTAATAAAGCTTTCATATATATGGACTTTTTCCACCACGTTGCAGCTGTAGTTTGTTGCAACAACCATGTAACATTCTTAAAGGGACAATGATTCGGCGAGAAAGCATATATATAAATGTTAACAGAGTATTCATTGTAACGCGATATTTGTTTTCCTGAAATCAAAACAAGTTTAGGCCGTAACTAGCTACGTGGTGGCACATCTTTTAGTTGCACAGCGGTCAGGTGGACACGATGAATAACACGGCACCACGTCGAGTGCAAAGAGTGCAAAGAGTCCAAAGATCTGTGGTATGTTTAGAAAATGCGTCGTCACTTTTTGCCTGTCTATATATGCGATATGCCGGCCTCGCCCCGCTCCGACAAAAACCCAGCACGACCTTGAGCTGAGATGGCCGTCGCGATCTGCATCAAGGTGGCCGCACTCGTTGCGCTCGTGTCCGTGTTCGCCACGCATGACGCTCGCGCGCAGCCGAGCTACAACGCCTCCTCCGCCCGCAGGGAATTGTACTACTCCAGCACCACCGGCGGCAGCTGGCAACCTGCCATGGCCACCTGGTACGGCCGGCCCAACGGCACCCCGGCCCTGACAACAACGGTGTGTACGTGTGCCATGCGCGTGCCAATGCTGCCGTGTTCCTTGTGTCTTCAGCCCTGGCGTTGTGTCTTGCTTTCATGCACGCATGCGTGTCGATCGTGGTGCTGATCGGTGATCGATATGGTTTTGCAGGTGGTGGGTGTGGGTACAGCGGCACCAACCTGTACCCTTTCAACTCCATGACGTCCTGCGGCGACCACAAATTGTTCAACGACGGCAAGGGCTGCGGCGCATGCTACCAGGTACTACGTGAAACCTAGCGGTGCTTGTTTGCTTGGTCGAGCGTTGTGTGAGTGCGCACATCTCCCTGCCGACCGTCGCGTTCAGCGTCCGGAGGGTGGTGAACCGCAACATGGACATGTCTTCATGCATCCTCTGTTTGGTCTGCTGCTTCTCAGATAAAATGCGTGAGCATGAACAACCATGCCTGTTCTGGCGTGCCCCAGACGGTTATCATCACCGACGTGAACTACGACACCAGTCTCGGCCCCAACCGTTTCGACCTCAGCGGCACGGCGTTCGGCGCCATGGCTAAGCCTGGCCTCAACGGCAAGCTCCGCGATGCCGGCGCCCTCAGCATCCAGTACAGGAGGTCCGTAGTAACAGTTAGAGTAGCAGAATTTCTGACGCTTTGATTTGGCGGCTTTAGTAATATATTGTTGCCAACGTGAAGATTCATCTCATATATATACGCATCGATCGATCTGACCTCCTCCTCGTCGTCGTCGTCGTCGTCGTCATACCCACGCAGGGTGCCCTGCAACTACAAGGGCTTGAACGTGAGGGTTCCACGTGATGGGAGGCTGCAACCCATTCTACTTCGCGGTGATCGTGTACTACGCGGGCAGCGATGGCGCCGTGGTGCAGGTGGACCTCAAGGAGGCCAACTCGCAGACATGGAGGCCGCTGTACGAGTCGTGGGCGCCGTCTGGAGGATAGACCCCGGCCACCTGCTGAAGGCGCCCTCTCGCTGCGCGTCCGCAGCGACTGTGGCAAGACTCTGGTGGCCTACGACGTCATCCCGGTCAACTGGAGGGCAATGCCGATTACCGTACCATCGCTCAGTTCCACTGAGATCACATGCCGACAGGGACAATGAACACTTCCTCTTAACGCCTTATTTGATGCATGTGTATCCAACTCAATCCATATGTATTGGAGTGGAATGGAATGTAATTTATCCACTTCAACACATGTGGATTGAGATGAATATATGCGCATCCAAACAAGGCCTAATATGGTTCGATATTTTTTTCTTCAATCGCGTGATTGAAATTTTAACTTGCAACGTCTATTTTTTACGGTCTTTTTGAGGTTTCAAAATAATTACTACTTGCGACTTTGAGAATTCTAGATACTTGTTCTTTTGTGTCTCTTGAGATGCATACGTGGAATACATACAGTATACTCATATAGGAGGCGAAGTGTCATATTCACGTGTCCCCCTGTCACAAGTGTTTACATCTACCTTCCCATTGGTAAAAAGAAAAGATACGCGTACCATGCAGATGCAGCGCGTATAACCAAATCAAGTTGATAAATTTCTATATGGTGTTAGTGTGTGTATATCTGCTCAATCTTCCTCGCATGTGCGTCGTATGAGAAGCAAATTACGTACAGGACGATCGGAGCTGCCTCGATGCCTGGCTCTCTCTTTCTAATCAACCATGCGCGGTGTACGTGTATAATCGCGTGATTACAACCTCATCATCAACGGATTCACTTCTGAATCTCAGGCATTTCAGATTGTTTAATAAGTATGTTCTGTCATGGGACAAAGTACCTTTATAAGGGTCATTATGATTTTAGTGGTTAAATGACAACATGACCCATGGATTAATAACGTTTAATTTCAAAGAATAGAAGACTTAGAATCATGAGAACTATCTCTATATCTAAAAGGCCTCAAGTGTCCATCCGACAGGATGAAGTGGCGCTCGATCGGCAATTTCTGCACAGTGTCGACAATGTGTGGCCACCCTAACGACACCCACAGCGCCTCCTTCGGTCCTCCCTATAGCTCCTGACCTTGCCCGCATCTCATCGCCACCATGCACATCCTCCCGCATTGAGGCCCTCCTCCGGCATCGAGTTGTTCGCGGCCACCGCCCTATTGCTGTCAGTTGCTCTAAGGTACCGGTTCTCGCGAGAAGGGCAGCTACAAATCCCAATTTCATTTTGTTGTGCATTCCCTCAATTCCAATTTAGTAAATGATCTAACTGTTGCGACGACCTTTCCAGCTTTGATTATGTGGTGGGGTCCATTTTATATCCTTCACTTCTCCTTTCTCTTTTTAGTGCCTCCTTCCCTTCCGGTGACTTTCCTAACTCTATTTTCTCACACTTTTCATCTTTCTCTCTCCCGACACGCATTCATTTTTCTCACTTTTTTCCTTTTATTTTTATTTCTTTTCTCTATTGCATTTTATTTTCTCACTTTCTTGTTTTCTCCTTTTATTTTTCTTGCATTTTTTCTTTTTCCTTTTTTGTATTATATGTTGAGAAATTTGGTCGCAACAAATTACAAAAATTGTGTTGGATAAATTGTATGTACAATTTAGAACAATAACTTATTTGTATAAATTATTTTATTTATATAATTTATTATATAAAGTTGTGTTTATAAGAGTAATGTTGAGAAATTGTTATGAATAAGTTTATCCACCGGTAGTTATGAATAAAAGTTGGACTTCAACAGTTACATAGACAAGTTATTATGATAAGTTGTCTAAAAAATATTATTTAAAAAATATATTGAGTAAGTTATGCTAATAAGTTATATCTCAAACAAATCAAAGATCCGTAATGCATGAGTCTTGTGACATCGCTCTTTTGGTCCGTTGGGCGTGTATATCGTCTTAGAGCCCATTAAGGGGCGCGTCTAGGGGGTGACGCCCAAGGCTCTATAAATAGCATCCGTCGCTCTCATTAGGGTTTGGGGTTTTGTTGCGTTCTTGTTTTCCTCGTGTAATAGATATCGTTTGCTGCTGTATTGTCAAGATCGCTTGTTGTGAACCAGAGTCCCTATTCTTGATCTTGTTCGCATATGGCGATTAGTTCTTTCGAATAAAGACTTGAACTCCTCTTCAGACTCATAAGCTTCATATTTACTTGCAATTTTAGATTGTGTTTATCGATTCTTGCTTGTGTTCTCAATTCACTTGTAGGAAAGCCTTCTCGGCGAAGTCAATCGCGTTGTGCGTGGTTGATAACCAACGGAGCAGTGGTGTAACGGTTGTGGGGTCTGAACCAGACTTGGTTCAAAGCCGAGATCATGAACGTTGAGTTCTTCACTAATCGAAGTTATCGTACCTATTGGAAGGTCGAGCCAAGTCTACATCAAGAGATCGGATTTTATTTGTGGAGTTATTCCTCGTCGAGCCGCCGTTGGAAAAACCCGAGTGGGTGTATTCGGATCTTCATGGATTTGTGTGGAGTGCGTGAACGAGCTGTTACAGTTTGAGTGCGTCTCTTAAAATCTTCGAGTTCCTCATCTTCTGATCGTGGTTCGTCGTGTCCGCGGGTGGAAGGATTTTTAAGGTTTGGATTGCACCTTTTGTAAGCTGATCCCACTATCAATATTATTGCTACTGCTTGTGTTTGGTTGATCATTCAAATTATTTTACCCATCTGGATTATCGTTTTGCTTGGTCAATACAATTCTGTGAGATTGATCTACGTTGGAATATTTGTCGTGGTTTCCTGTACGTGATCATCAAAGAGTAATAGAGCTGCGTCGTTTAGACAATTATTAAATTATATATTTGTACTGTCTTCCCGTGCAAGTAAATACAGACATTCACAAGTTTATCTCTGTTTCGATTTACTGTATCCAGCGATCAGTCCTTTGTCCTTTGGTTTCTGGAAACAAGCCTGGCCGTAGAGATATAAATCATCAGGAATACGACATAATAATATATTGCTTGCTTCTTGCTAGTGCTGATCGGCAGTTTTTGTCTGTTGCTGTATTAAGCCCCTGTTTGGTTTTCCATGACTAAAATTTAGCTACTAAAACTAATGACTAAACTTTAGTCACTCCTTTATGGTTCTAGTGACTAAAAGTGACTAAAGACCATTAAATCAGTTCAATAAAGATCAAACTACCCTTAATAAATGCCCAAATCAGGGTGGAGGACCAGCAATAATGAGGGGCAGCCCTTGTCCACTGGGCACTTTAGCTCACTTTTTGCTACTCTTGGGTGACTAATGTGACTAAACTACTTTAGTCCATTTTTAGCCAGTTTGTTTGACAATTTAGTAGCTAACTAAAGTTTAGTAGCTAAATTTTAGTAGAGGGTAACAAAACAGGCCCTAAGTTTCGGCCACAGATATCTTCATGATTTCTGTACCATGAAAGATCAGAATAATTCTTGGACATCGTAGGCATGTCCTCATCTGGTATGGCGGAATCGATAACATAGATAGCAAAGTAACGGTTGTGGGGTCTGAACCAGACTTGGTTCAAAGCCGTTCAAAGCCGAGATCATGAACCACTGACAGAGTATCACCACATCAAACCGGTATACGAGTCCACACATCAACCCGGCAAATGAGTCCACATATTAAACCACAAATGTTTACTATATCAAGCCGCAGGAATTGAAGACTGAGAGTTACCAAAAGAGCTGAAGTGCGTGCATAGCTCACGGAGATTATTGTACTCCTCTTATTGCCGTTTCTTGTATTCCTCCAACTCCCTTTCAGTCTTTTCTGTCTTCCTCTTCAGTTCATCCACTTGATCGACGAGGGCAGCGTAACTTTCTTGTTTAGCAGCAAGCTGTTCCCGAAGCATTCACCGATGTTTCTGTTCTGGTGGAGCTTGTCTGGATACCAACATTCTTCAAAAAAGTTGTTGCCGCTTTCCTAGGAGGGGGCCTTGCCCTGGTAGATGCAGAGGACCTTACAAACAACATCAACACTAGTCATTGGTTGCTGCCTATCAGCAATAGGTTCTGCTTACCTAGTTTCCATAGCTTCCTGTGAAATTCAATTAGTAAAACATTAGGTTACAGATAGTGTAAAAGGACTCAATTGAAAACCAAAGAGATTGATTCATAACAAGTAATGCATAGGTCATTCTCAGCTTACTACTGATAGAGATTATATAAGCTTCAGTAGATTTTAGTAGATTTTCATAACACTAGACTTTTGTTATGTTTCCTTCTTTTATGGCAATGACTTCAGTAGATTTCAAGGGAAGCAAAAGAAGGTACTTATAACTGCTGCTCTTGTAGCATCGCTCAGGCCCTTTTTGCTAATGGTATGGAAGTCCCTGAAGACTTCCACAACATTAACATCTTCATCGGGTGAACCATTTTCTTCTTCAAGTCCTTGATCGTGTTCTGCTGCCTCCTTGTTCTCCTTCTGTTCACATTACACATGAGTTTCGATTTATATTTATACAAAGGCAAGAGTAACAATAAAACACAACCATCACTTACAAATTTTTGCAGCTGAACAACATAGGAGCGAGATCCTGTAGCCTGGTGTACTTCACTTTTGCACGGTTTCGCTTGTTCTTCTTAGATGTTTCCTATAGCTTCATTTGTGTTAGACTACAACACAAGTAGACCATAGCAAAACTAGACATAAAATCGATGGGTTCACAAACCTTGTTCTTAGCACTAGACCAAATCTTGACAAGTTCACACCACTATGCATTGTTCATGGACGAGACATGAGAGGTCATATGGATCTGATCAGCAGGGACACCATTGAAGTGTTTTTTGTTCAACCTATAGCATGTCTGCCGTACCGTAGACTACATTACATTTCAGCAAGCTTCTTTTGTTGGTGGGTGAGCACCGTTAATGCGCAGCCTTCGTTACACTGTAGCACACAGTTTTAAGAACAAAACTAGATACACACCATATGTGAGCCCTGAAAGTCAATTCTCACATATAGCTACAAATAAGGGTAATATCAATAGACAATACTCAATATATAACGTACCTAGTATAAAGAATATAACCTTAGATAACAAACAGCGGAAAGACAACTTTGATCTTCGGGTGAAGACTCCAATCCACAGACTGGTTGATCACAAGCCTAACTCCTCCAAACTGTAGCAATCTAGTACCAATCCGAGATTTTTTTCTG